TGTTTGCACAAGCTTGTTAGGTAGACTATTTACATTATTCAGACTATTGTTCTCATCTTTGTCATCAAATTTATTACAACGTTTCGGCCATTGTACACTCCAGCCTTCTTCAGGGTCTTGGAATGTCGAACTGAACCCTTTATTTCACTCACTGGGGTAGACTGTTCTATTTCCATGTGCCATGTTTAATGGATGTCAGTTATCAGTTATCTCCTGTTAATTCCCCTCTCCAAGTTCTCCACCACTTTAAACAAGGTATTTGAACTTAGACTCTTTGAGTCCTGTCACTGGATCTAAATAATGCCTTTATCCACTGTGCCATGTGTCCTTGAAGCAGATATTAGTTAGGTAGGTTACTCACTGTTTCCCTCAGTTCTTCTTGCTTTCAATATGTCCTGTGAGTGTCACATTCACCAAGCCTTCATTCTTCATTACGTGTACCAAAAGTTTCAACTGATTTTTTTGTGATTTAAATCGTCTTTTTTGTTTCCTTTTTCCTTGAAACTTTCTCCTTACTCATATGTTCAGTTCATCCTTCCCACAACCACATTTTTATTCCATCCAGGGTATGATGATAAACTACATCCAACAGCAAGGCCTCTGATAATGTTTTTGAAAAAATAATGTTGCCAGCTGTATGTTTTTGAAAAAATATTACCAGCTATACTTTTTTTAAAAGGATAGTGCTGCTGGCTATACATTTTTGAAAAATATTACCAGCTATACATTTTGAAAAAATAATATTTGATAAAACAAAAATATTACAAAAAAAAAAAGTTGTCGGCATTAAATGACCCATTGAGGTTGATGTGCCACAAAACAAAACATTTTTATTGCCTCAGTTTTCTTCATCTGTGAGAAGAATGTCCAGTGTTCACTGACAAAAGGGAGAACATATTCCATAACAGTTCCATATCCTCACAGTTCTTAATTTTTGATTCATAAAACAACCCCATTCAGTAAGCCTCTATCTTGAGTGGCTCTTGAATCTTGTACTTGAAGGAACAATAGCCTAGAAAAAAGTATACTTCTGTACAGGCACATCTCTGTTGCTTCAAGTCTCCTCTTCATGCAAGTGTTTAAACAAGTTTCAGGCTGTATGGTCACTTTCATTTCTTTCCTCTACTTGAATTCTGAGAACAACTTTGTGACTCAGTTTTAAAATTATGCCACAGAATTATCTATATCTCAATAATTGTATTCAACATTATAACATCTAAAAAAAAAAAAAGTACAGTTTGAATAGTATTGATGATATAGTATAGTCATAGCCATCTTATTATTATTGCTTTTTAGTTGAAGCATTTTCACTACAGTAAATTTTTATTTATGACAATCCTGACCTATGACAATTTGTGGTTACAATGCAATCTCCATTAACCTTGTTTCAACTTACACCATTTGCCTCATACATACAATATATTGTATTTATGTCCTCCATGTGTGATTTTGGTCTTAATTTTGTTAACATATGTCTTAGAAATGTAAGGTTATGTCCTAGATTATTAATTTACTACTGTTTGAGGTGAGTGATGTCAGTGCTTATTCATGGAAAATCGCAGGTACAATCTGACTGACATGGATAGTCTTACAATGCATCATATAACTCTGTATAAGTCAAGGACAATATGGTGAATAGTACCCCAGAGCCACTCAACAGGGGTGGTGCCAAGCCTGATTGGGGATCCTAGATAGTGCTTTCTGACCCTTGCTGACCCTTATCAACATTTTGATTTTTCTGCCTATATCTATATACAACAAATTAAACTAGACACAACTGACTATTAAAGGAAGATGAATTTTCACAGATTTTGATGTCATTTTGGAGTCTTTCGTTCTTTTTTATCCAAATCCATGAATTTGTTTTGCACACGCTCAGTCTAGAAAAAACACTATATATAAATCAATATTCTTGACAGAAAAATCTGAAGTTGATGTTAAAAATTGCCACAGAACATTGTTGATTTATTTAAGATGGAGTGATCTGTTATGACATGTAACTAATTTGTTTTAGATAGATTGTATTTTTTTTTCAATTTTTCTAGTTAAATTGTTTACCTATATCGCATATAATCCATTATTGTACATAATTAGGTTACAATAAAATTTGTATTTTATGTGAATACTTTCCTTTGAAAATTGACATACTGAAATGGTGGGCAGTGTATCATAGATTTGGTGGACATAACATAGATTCAGTGGGAGCACAAGTCTCTTCCACCAGCCTTGGTCAAGATCAGCCTTTATTATTTTATGAGTTTTACGCAATCTTATTATTGTTGCTTTTGAGCTGAAGCCTTTTCACTATTATTATTTTATTACTAGTTTTATTCCATCTTATCATTGTTGCTTTTGAGATGAAGCATTTTCACTATTATTATTTTATTACTAGTTTTACTCCATCTTATTATTGTTGCTTTTTAGATGAAGCCTTTTCACTATTATTATTTTATTACTAGTTTTACTCCATTTTTGTTGCTTTATTAGCACATGATACACT